AACACTTGGATGCAAACAAGGGTGGTGGACCACAGGGCTTGTAACCCAACAAGAGAGCGTGCAAGCACACACACACACACATTTGTAAGTCGGCGGCGCAGAGGGTCCTCACGCGCGGCCAGCAGATGGAAGTGCTCATTACGATTGAGCGTAGTCGAAGTCACAGTGAACGAGAGGTCTAACGCTTGGATGCAAACATGGGTGGTGGACTGCCACCCAACAAGAGAGCGCGCAGGCAAACACACACACACACACACTTTTAATTCGGCGCCGCAGAGGGTCCTCACGCGTGGGCAGCACATGGAAGTGCCCAGTGCGATCGAGCGTAGTCGAAATCACAATGAAACGAAAGGTCCAGAACTGGGATGCAAACAAGGGGTGGTGGACTAGAGGGTTTCTAGCCCAACAAAAGAGCGCGCACATACAAACTCGGCGGCGCAGAGGGTCCGAACGCGCGGGCAGCAGATGGAAGTGCCCATTGCGATCGGGCGTAGTCGGAATCACACTGAACGCGAGGTCGAACACTTGGATGTAAACAAGGGTGGTGGACCACAGGGCTTGTAACCCAACAAGAGAGCGTGCAAGCACACACACACACACTTTTAAGTCGGCGGCGCAGAGGGTCCGAACGCGCGGGCAGCAGATGGAAGTGCCCATTGCGATCGGGCGTACTCGAAATCACAGTGAACGGAAGGTCTAACGCTTGGATGCAAACAGGGGTGCTGGACTAGATGTCTGGTAACCCAACAAGAGAACGTGCACACACACACACACACACACACTTGTAAGTCGGCGGCGCAGAGGGTCCTCACGCGCGGACAGCAGATGGAAGTGACCATTACGATTGAGCGTAGTCGAAGTCACAGTGAACGAGAGGTCGAACGCTGGATGCAAGCAAGGATGGTGGACTAGAGGGCTTGTCGCCCAACAAGAGAGCGCGCACACGCACACACACATTCAATCTGGCGCCGCAGAGGGTCCTCACGCGCGGGCGGCAGATGGAAGTGCCCATTGCGATCGAACGTAGTCGATATCACAGTGAACGAGAGGTCTAACACTTGGATGCAAACAAAGGTGGTGGACTAGAGAGCTTGCAACCAAACAAGAACGCGTGCACATACGCACACACACACACACACTCACTTTTAAGCCGGCGGCGCAGACGGTCACGACGCGCGGGCAGCAGATGGAAGTGCCCATTGCGATCGAACGTAATCGAAATCACAGTGAACGACAGGTCTAACACTTGGATGCAAACAGGGGTAGTGGACTAGATGGCTGGTAACCCAACAAGAGAGCGTGCACGCACACACACACATTTAAGTCGGCGGCGCAGAGGGTCCCCACGCGCGGGCGTCAGATGGAAGTGCTCATTGCGATCGAGCGTAGTCGAAATCACACTGAACGGAAGGTCTAACACATGGGTGCATGGGTGGACTAGAAGGCTTGTAATCCAACAAGAGAACGTACAGGCACACACACACACGCTTTCAATTCGGCGGCGCAGAGGGTGCCCACGCGCGGGCAGCAGATGGAAGTGCCCATTGCGATCGAGCGTAGTCGAAATCACAGTGAACGAGAGGTCTAACACTTGGATGCAAACAAAGGTGGTGGACTAGAGAGCTTGCAACCAAACAAGAACACGTGCACATACGCACACACACACACACTCACTTTTAAGCCGGCGGCGCAGAGGGTCACGACGCGCGGGCAGCAAAGGGAAGTGCCCATTGCGATCGAGCGTCGTCGAAATCACAGTGAACGACAGGTCTAACACTTGGAAGCAAACAAAGGTGGTGGACCAGAGGACTTGTAACACAACAAGAGAGCGTGCACACACATATACACACCTTCGGATGTCTGGGCTCGCGGCGGGAGACATAGCCGTATCCATAGCCTCGCGGCCTGGACTCCTCGTCGGCGAACCCACGGGATCGCGTATCCATTGGATCGTGCCTTGGTGTCCAGATCGCGAGGCCATGGATCTAAACAGGAGGTGTTCGTCGCTCGTGATGAACTGCGGGGGGCGGGGGTTTTGCGCATGGGGAAGGGGCGCCACCCTTCGGGGGCAAAAGGCGGGATGCGGGAGAAAAGGAGCTCATCTTACCTGCTCAGACAGAATCGGGCACCACTCCTCCCTCCCCTCCTCATAGTCCTTCCTCCTCATATTCCCTCCTCTTGGTAGCTAGTAATCGCGGCAGACGACCCCACGCAACTGACCAGGTGGCCAGAGTAAACAGAATTAGCGCGCAGGGGTCGCCGACGGCAGCGCGGAGAATGCTCCGATTGACGACGCCCTGACTTGGGCCAAAGGCCAAGGGCCCTCCTATACTTCCATGCGCCGCGCGAAAAACAAAAGCATGACGGGTGATCCACGCGCCATGGCGGGTGGTACAAGCGGTGCCGGCGCCCCGTTCTCCTGGCCGGGGACAAAAATCACCATGACCACTGCCGTGATCGCCACCATCGCAGTCAATACCGCCATTTCTGTGTATGTGCTTGGCATACAGGCGTGCGTTTACCCAGCGAGCAACACGCCAGCCTCGGAAAAAAATGGCACCATTTCTGCAAACGAGCGCCGCGCCTTTTTTTTGAATATGCAAACTACTGCGTATTGAACAAAACGGCTGGCATGTGCCACGTTACTTCAACAGCAAGACTTCGTGTCGACAGATTTCGGAACACACCTGCTCAATGCTACCCCATATTGCTTCCACCATCGATCTCAATTTCATGCCCATCCCTCGCTGTCCACTGACACACACGCATCATGTTGTGCAGCTGCAGGTAGCACACGCCCATGGACTCCCCCCAGTCCGCGTTCCGGTCCCTGATCCCCGAAACCGATTTTGACGGTCCCAGGCCCAATTCAGCGCCAAGCGGAGCCTAATTAGGGCGCCACGATACCATGCCAGACTACAGCGAAACCCCGCAGGACGGCTTCAGACCCGCCCAGACGGCCCAAGACCCCCGAAGAAGGACAGACCACTCCCAAAATGCCCACAATTAAGCCTCAAACGCGCTCGAGAAGAACCATCCGGAAGGCCCCAGGGAGGCCAGTGTCAGTGAACAGCAACATTTGATTGCCATATGACATGACCTTGTGACCCTGGCAAGGCCAATCTGGCCTCCAGGGTGCCTCATGGCGGCATTCGGGCAGTCCTGGACGGCTTCCATAATCAGGAACCGATATCACGTAAACTCTTGCTTTGCATCGCGCGGTGCCCATCCCGTCAGGGCCTCCAATTACAATGACAGTGCTGAGGAGAACAATTATCGTGTTGGGAGGAAGGGGGTGGGAGGATGAAGGTCATGAGCAACAGCACCCGGATGCAATGAACGATGCACCCAGATGCATTACGGGTAAGGATATCCTCATTTCTCCCAGTCCCATCCTCCCGACCCGATAACTGTCTTCCTGAACTGGGGCAAGTGACTACCCTCAGGTCGGGCATGTCCTCCTACAGGCGGATTTTCTGAAAACACGAAAAAAACGCAAATTAGCTAAACAGGCTCAAAAATTGTCAAAAGAGTCGAAACATAATCCCCAGACTGGTTATGATCATTTTTGAACATTCCTCCTGTAGAGGGACACGCCCGACTTAAAGCCTGCCGCCCGCTCCACAGCGAAGTGCAGAACAGGGCCCGGGGAAGCGCACTGCGTCGCAGGGCCGGAGGTCGCAGGGCCTGAAGCCACCCGGCGCGCCCCCCGCAGGCGGGGGCCCCGGCGTTCACCCGCGGCGCCCGCCGCAGGCGCGGGCGCCCGGTCGACGGGGCCCCAAAATAGGGGAACAAAAAGTGGCATAGACATAACAACTCGGAGGTCCGCGCGGATTTCTCGGATCGGCGCTGGACCCCCCCTCCCTGGCGCGCGGAGCGCGCCAGGGGCGGCGCCGGAGGCGCCGCCGGGGGGCCCCAGCGCCGATCCGAGAGATCCGCGCGGACCTCCGAGTTTTTATGCTTATGTCATGTGTTACTTGTTGTTCCCCTGCAAAAGTTTGCACCCTGGAAAAACGACAATCAGAAAAAACGGCCCTTGAAAAAACTGCAATTCGTGTGGCATGTTCGTACTCCTGCTTTTCACAGTCTTGGGGCGCTTCGCTCTTCTGCGTCGCGGTCGGGCACTCCGTCTATCTGCTTCGCAGGTCCTCGTGCGCTTTCTGCTGCTGCTTCAGAGTCGAATATACACGCCGTCTCTCTGGCAGCAGTTGTCCCGAAGAGGTGCCGATTGCGCACTCTTCTGCCCACGCGTCCTGCCGGAAACCCGGATCAGTGACGGCAGTGGTGCCCAAGCGCCGTGCCTAGGGCTGGCGCATGGCCTCTGTACTGTACTGTACTGTACTGCACTGTGCTGTGCTGTACTGTACAGAAGACGAAAACCCACCCCCACCCCCAGTCCCGACTCCCATCCCCGAGCCGGCGATTCAAGGGGTCGGGACTGGGAGTGGGGGCGTGTTCTCCCTTCTCGGACCCCCCCGACAAATCACCGCCATCCCCAGTCCCGACCCCCTGGATCGCGCGTCCGGGGATGGGGTCGGGGCTGGGGGGGGGTTAGGGTGGGCCTTCGCCTTCTCAGACAGAGGCCGAAGAATCGGCCAAAGTCCCGCGGAGGCCCGCAAGCATGATTACACCCTCGGGAAAAAAGCAACAGTCAGTCAGTCAGTCACACACACACACACACACGCGCCTGCGGAAGAGCTTTTCACGACGGCGTTCGGCCCAGTCGACCCCACCCGATCGGGCCCCAGCGAGTCGCCAACAAGGCGGGGGGAGCGTTCTCGCGCGGGCCCCGCCTCCGACCCCGGGGCAAGTGGAGCCTGGGGCCGGCGCCGCTGGGCGACGCTCGAAGCCTGGAAGCCTCCCAGAGGCCTCTTCGAAGCTACGCGTGCAAAGGCCCGTGCTCACGCAACGATGCCGCGTCTCCGCGCCCAAAGCAAGCAACGGTACCAGCGTGCAGCGCTGCAGCACTGTTGCGCACATCCCCCAAGCGCGTTGGCGCATTACGCCTGCAGCCCAAGCGGCACCCCACCCGGCCCATGGCCGTCTCTGGTGGGACAGCTATTGCCATCGGTCGCCCAAGCTATCTTCCCCGCTCGTGCTGTGCGAAGCTAAGGTGCAGCCTTGGAAACTACATGCAAATACTCCAGATTTCTCCATAAAAGGGAGGGGGTCACAACCCTCACAGACGGGCAATGCCAGACCCCCCCAAACAAGCCATGAAGGGCGGCTTTTTGCCCAGACCCACTGGAACCCTCCAGGACAGCTCAAATCTGACCCCATCCCAAATCAGACCACCCCCCCTTTTATTGTGAAATCTGGAGTACTTACTGCAGAATCAAGAATGCCGAAACCTCGCTGTGGCGAAGAATGAACAATATCTGGCGCCCCGAAGTCGGCGGCCCAGGCACCTCTCGGGGCGAAAAAACAACGAGAACTGCTCTTAAGCAAACCAGCGGCTCAGACGCGAAAGAACGCAGCTTCCGAGCGAGATTCCTTAGGCGCCAAACGGAAGTATAACTTCGACGACGTGTCACCGCGCGAAACACTGTGATACGCAATTCTTGCGCACTAATAAGCAGGCGCACTGCGCAGACGCACTGCGCAAGCGCATCAGCAAACACACTGAGCGGGCGCGCTGGGCAAACGCACCGCGCAGGCGCAATGCGTATGCGCACTAACCAGACGCACCAAACGAGCCACGAATTACTAATCCTCCCTCCCTCCCTCCCCTCCGCCATTGATGACTCATTCTGGATCTGGCCATCGCTCGGACGTCCATTTCCTCTGCTTTTTTCGGTTTCGTGCGCGGTTTTTCGCCAAATGATCAAGGATGCTCCTCGATGGTCCTCGCCGAAGGACAAAGGCACACGTCCGAGCGATGCCAAGGAATACATTGTCTCCTCTCACCCCCATGCCTGGGCGTAAGATGTACTAGACCCCTCCGCGTATTTCTTATGATCAGGACTCAAACTGGTGGCCTTTCCCCTGCGCGTTTCTGCTCGGGACGTGTTCGGCCGTTCCGAAAGGGGGCGTCCTCGCCCCGGCGCCCTCCTCCCCCCCCCCCCCCCATCGAGGGAGGTCTGGGGGGAGGGGGGGGGGCGAGGAGTAATACATTCTCTGCGCCTCCTCCTCCATCCTCCTCCTCCTCCTCCTCCTCCTCCTCCTCCTCCTCCTCCTCCATCCTCCCCCCTCCTCCCCCCGCCTCCTCGAGGCCAAGGGGCGGGGGGGGGGGGGCGCAAAAGCCTCCCCCCAGGGCGATGCCGGGGGGGGCACCCCGCTTCATGATGCCAGACCCTACATGTAGAGATCTTGGGTCACACTCTTCGCCGACGCTATAGACAGTCCCAATGTGTTCCAGAGCTTCTGAAGGTTCCTGGGGCCATCGGGGGATGCGAAACTTCCGTTGGGCACCTGCTGGCAGGCCGATGTCTTATGCCATGTCGTTGTCGCACCAGTGAAGTTGAATTGCGATCGTAAGCGTTGAGCAAACAGAAATGGCGCTTTCACACGGTGCCTCTTCCTAATGCGGTCGCATCTAGAAACCTTCCAGACAATTGCCAACCATTGCCATATGAATGGTGCTTCTCAACAGAGTCCTGGTGAATTCTGCATAGTTCGTAGCCGTCAGCGTGTCCTTCACCATCCGTGCTAACTGCGGGCGCTGGCGGCGGTGCCTGATACTGCTGGCGGAACTCGTCCACCGAAGCGCCCGGCGACACTGGCAGCTTCTCCACCGGCTTCTCGGGGGGCTTCCACGGGGGCTCCGCGGGAGGAGCCTCCGCCAGCAGGAGCGATGCGACACCAGAACCATCCGATATCTTGAAACAAGCAGGGCCCTTCAAAACATAATACCGGAGAAAAAAAAACCTATAGGGCTTTAGACCTACAACGCTCTGGGTCTGTAGGGCTGTAGGGCTGTAGGGCTATAAGGCTACAAGGCGATCAGACTATAGGGCTATATAGGGCTATGGGGCTATAGGGCTATAGGGCTATTAAGGCTATAGAGCTGTAGGACGATAGGGCTACAGGGCTATAGGGCTGTAGGGCTATAGGGCTAGGGCTATAAAACTATAGGGCTATAATAGGGCTACCGGGCTACCGGGCACCTGGGCACCTGGGCACCCGGGTACCCGGGCATCCAAGCAACCGCTGCATGGGCACCCGGGCATCCTGGGCACCCGGGCACCCGGTGCACCCGGGCACCTGGGCACCACGGCACCCGGGCGTGCCGCCGAAATCCGCGCCACAGCTAACATGACCATATGAATCCGCTATAGGGCCCCTACAGAGGCAGGCTCTGATTGGGGAATGGTGCCGTTGATGTGTTCGATCGAGTCGCTGGCGCCTGGGCCGCTCGACCACGGCCGCGCGGCCCGCCGTTCATCCCGAGCCCATGTTCAACGGCCCTGAAGCCCAGAAGCGCTCCCCGACGCCGAAAGTAGCCAAAGACACCGTCGCGATCCTATAGAGTCGCCAGAGAACTTGGTCACTTGCTCCGCCTTCGTCTCGTCACGCCCCCCGCATCCTCCCTCCCTCACCGCCACAAGTCCCTCCCACCCTCGCTACCTCGCTCGCTCACTCCACCCCTCTCCGAGCATCAGAGTCTGCCTCCTCATCCACCTGTTTCTGTACTCCTTACTGCTCCTCCTCCCGAAGAGGAGGACGCCGACGAGGAGGATAAGCAGGAGATGGAGATGGAGGAGGAGGAGGAGGGAGAGGATGAGAACCTCCTCCTTAATCCGCCGCCCCATCCGGTTTACCGTTGTCATGCATCCCTTGGTTCCTCCCTGCATCGGCCACTTTCCCCTTAAACCAAATTCGCCTGGCAACGTCACGTACCGTTGGTGGTGGACCTCTCCGTGTAGGGCCCGCGTGAGGGGTGTGCCGAATTGGGCAGGGGGACGCACGCAAGCTTTCAAAAGGAGGCCGCATGTGGAGCTCCCACAAGTCGCGGATCGTGCATGAATGGGGGTACCGCGAAATCCGAGGTGGCACGCATGCACGCTTTCCCAATCGGGCCGGAAGTGGGACTCGCGTGACCAAGTGGGGCCAGAGCAGAGGGGGTCGGCGGATCGCACGGGATCGCCCGATGCATCGGCGAATCACTGGCGATCTCAGGGTGGAGAGCTTCTGACTACGTATCCCGCCGCAAATGCATCGGCGATGCGGCGCGATCCTCCGACCCCATCAACTCCGATCCCATCTGGGCGGGCCAACTCCGTCCCGTTCCGATTGCCCCAGCCTGCGTCAGGATCCTGGCGACCGTGCGGCATGCGACATAAAATGACCCAGCGCGTGAACATCTGCGCCCACGGCAATGGCCGCATCCATTCCCTCAATCACTGCCTCCCTCTCTCCCTCCCTGCGCCCCCCTGCCTGTCCCCGCGCGCCCGGGTAAAGCCCATCCAATCTTGCGCCCCGATCGATCATGACCGATCCCTCCAGAGGGAAATTGCTGTAGAAAAAACGGATGCGAGGTCCCTTTCTCCTCCTCCTCCTCGTTCTCCTCCTCCTCCTCCTCCTCCCCCTCCTCCTCCTCGTCTTCCACCCCGTCCTCTACTTTTCTTCCTCCTCCTCCTCTTCCTCCTCCTCACCACCACCACCACCGCCACCACCGCCACCACCACCACCACCATCATCACCACCACCACCACCACCACCACCACCACCACCACCACTGTCATCACCTTTCTTCCGCCGCCCCTCCGTTCCCTTGCATGCTTCCGACGTCCAACACAGGCCTGCCCCCAACACTGCTTCTTTCGAGATGCCTGGCCCCTTCCAGAGAGGAGAAGCTGTTACAAAAACAGACGCCCAAATCACCCTGCCTCCTTATCCCCCTCCCCTCCTCCTTAACTTCCGTCCCCCTGCCTGCTTCCGAAGCCAAACGCAGACCTGCCCAAACTGTTCTCGATGAAGCTGCCTGACCCCATGGAAGAACCTGCAACAAAAGCTGACGAGAAGGTGCCATCTCTTCGTCTCTTCAGATCCGTCCTTCCCAGCCCCCTCCCTCCACCAGGAGGACGAGGACGAGGATGTAGGAAGGCCAGGATGAGCCCTGGAACCCCCTTGAAACCTCCAAGATCCCTCCCCCTCCCCCTCCTCCTCTTCCTCCTTCCCATCTTGCTCCTCCTCCTCCTCCTCCCCCTTTTCTTCCATATCCTCCCACCCCTCACTCCTCCAACCCTCACTCCCCAGACATTCGACGTCATGGCTTTCTCATGGCACGCCCACAGGACTTCTCGACTCCATCGTGAGGACTGGCACTTCAACTCTCAGGTGTTTTTACTGGCGGCCCGGTGCCCGAATCGGACCCCCCAGAAGAAGTAGACATTGATGAAATCCTCCTCGCCCTCCTCCTCCTCCTCCTCCTCCTCCTCCTGGCGCCGCGAAGAGAAGGGAGGAGGAGGAGGAGGAGGAGGAGGAGGAGGAGGACGAGGACGAGGAGGCGGCGGCGACGGAGGAGGAGGACGAGGAGGAGGAGGAGGGCGCCTCGCTCTCTTCGCGGCGCCTGGGGATCCGGGTCGGCCCTCCGGCCTCTCCCTGCGAGGCTCTCCAGGCACACAACTTCGAGGCGACTCCCGCCCGTGGCGACGAAGGACCCCACGCGGGCAGTATATGCCAAGCGGGGCCTCCGCACAATAACTCCCACGATAACTCGAGCGTCGTCCGCACAATAACTCCCAAGGCCAGCCGCGAGCAGACCGTCCGCGCCATAGCTCCCACGCGGCGGGCCTCGAGATCCGGCACGGCCTCGCTTACAGCATCACACGTACCCATGACCACTCTGCAGGGGCCGGCGGCATCAACCGAATCCACGGCGCCAGAGCCGTTCAAAGAAGTTGCTTTGTGTCTCGTCGTTCGCTGTATACCCATCGCCTTCGCCGACTTCGGCACTGGATCCACGTCGAAAGGAAACTCAAGCTGAAATTGCAGCTGTGACTCATACCGCGCACTCGACGATCCTGCATCGTGTGCCATCTCTTGGACTATGATGTCATCGACGTTGGGGTATGCCAAGACTCCGAGGATAACCGAAATCCGCCGACCCTGTCGGCGTTTGTGAGGGGCTTGTCTGATCGAGTCGTCGTCTCCGTCAGTCGTCGTCTCCGTCGTCCCCTCTCACTGCACCTGACTCCTAAAGCTTTTCAGCGAGAGGAACATCTAGCAATGTCGTAGCCGAGTCGAAAGGAAGCCCCTCCCCTTCCCTTTGATCCCTCCCCAGTCGGGGGTGGGGGTTCTGGGAGGGGGAAAGGGGGGCATCCCCCCCTCGGCCCCGAGAGGCTCCCAGGAGGCGCCAAGAGGTTCCCAACAGGCCCCAAGAGGCACACAATAAGTCCCCAGGAGGCCCGAAGAGGCCGCCAAGAGGCTCCCAAGAGGCCCCCAAATTCCCCCCCAGAGGCCCCCGAGAGCTTTTCGAAGAGACCCCAAGAAGCATCCCTGAGGACTCTGGCCCACGTCAGCGTCGTCGTCGTCGTCGCCGCCGCCGTTGTCGTCGTCGTCGCCTCCCCTCAGGGACGGCGGCACTGGCCGTAAGGCCTTCGCAATCTCATCCACAACTTTGTATCCAGAATCCCAATGCGCCCGTGAACTCAGCATGCGCAAAGGACGTGACCCTTCGCATATATGAGACGGTGCTCGATCTTCGAAGCGGTTTGTACCTCGGTGGTGCCACAAAGTGTTTACCTGGGAAACGTAAATCAACCTTGGGTATCTTCTTTGTATACGGTGCTTGAGGTGGTCTCGTAATGGATGGTTCCCCATGGTTGTCAGCAACCTAATTTACAACGCAACCTCATGTGGGATAGAAGCGGAGTCACCTGAGTCCAGAAGCTAACCGTATTTGAATGTTGGCCAATTGCCGCGTGTCATAGTGCAATGTTGAAAGAAGATTCGGATGTGCGCTTCCGCCGTATTTTTAATTCGAATGACAAAATCAGCATATTGTCAACTTGTCGTGCCAACCTCAGCCTTTTGCTCCTTGCGTGCCAGCCGGTCCCAGGGAGATGCGCTGATCGGGTTGTGTTCCTTGGCCGACGTCGCCTCTCTGCCGTCTACAGGCTGGATACGTTGCGCGGCAAACCAGATAGCAAAGCGATGCGTCTGACTTGCGGCAAGCACTACCTCTAAATCTGCTTTCAGCGCCGGCGAAGCGAATCGCAACGCCCGTCCTCGCAACCGCACCCTGCCCCAACACAGGGAGGCGGTCGAATAAGAGCGTGGAGTCTGGCCCCTGCACATCCGTCGCATCGCCGTGTGAGGTGAACAATTGTGCGATGGCAGCCACCGGTGGGGCAGAGGGTGCGACATGGGTCACGGAGCAGAAATACTTAGCGGCCGGCTTTGCCCTGGCAACTACTTCATCCAACCCCGGCGGCATCCCCAGCGCCATCCCTGGTGCGCTCTACACGCAGGGCAGATGGGGTCGAGCGCCGGTCTGAGAGATCCAGCCTGCCGTGCGCGGCCCAGCAGACGATCCATCACAGAAAAGATGATTACGGAGCTCACGAACGGCAGAAAGGTCTTGTCTTTGAAGGATGGCACGCTGGAACTCGAGACCCACATGTCGGCACCCCGTCACCGAGCAAATTACCACAAGAAGAAGAAGAAGAAACATGATAATACTTAGAAAAGTCAGAAGAAACATACAAAGAAGAAGAGGAAGATGCTATCCTGTGAACTGTTGGTGGGTTGAGCTAAGATGTCTATGGACGGCGATGGTAATGAAGGTCATGGTGTTGCCAAAACAACTGCGATTTGCGCTGGTTCAACCTTACACGACAACATCCAATCATCGCATTACACATCTGCTGTATGATGGACAGATTCACGCTACAGCATTCGATCGCATTTGCTATTTCCTCAGACAGCTTGAGCTGTTGGTGTACCTACGATTACCAGAAGAGCTTGGGCCGGAGGAGGTCTGCTGGCACGGCTTCGGGGGGCTGACATCTCGCAATTCGAGTCTGAGTAAATGTTACAATCATCGGCTCACCTGGGAAGGACGAGAAGGCAAACCGACATCTTGGGCAAACCGACACCTTGGAGCAACCGCAATTGCTCTTGCATCGACACGACCTGCGCCAATCGGAACAAGAACCGCTATCCCGGGCCTGTGGGCCAATGCAGCGGGGGTCGGCAGGCCAGCGCCCTCCAGGGATGCGCGCCTCTCTGCGCGCGAGGGGCTCCTTGTGGCACCCCCGGCCGCCCCTGGGGGCGGCTGGGAGGGAGGCGGGAGGCCGGGGGGGGAGGGAGAGAGGGACGCAGGGAGGGACGCAGGGAGGCGGGAGGGAGGGAGGGAGGGAGGCCGGGGGGCAGGGAGAGAGGGGCGCAGTGGAGGGAGCAGGAGGGAGGTCGGGAGGGAGGGAGGGAGGGAGGCCGGGGGGGGGAGGGAGAGAGGGGCGCAGTGGAGGGAGCAGGAGGGAGGCCGGGGGTCTTCGCCTCCGGCTGCGCCGGCAGCGCGGCGGGCTTCGCCGGCTCCGCCTGCGCAGGTGGGGGGGGGGAGAGGAGGAGGGGTCTGGCGGGGCCGGCCCCGGCCCCGGCGGTGGTGGGTAGGAGCGGGAGGCGGGGAGGGGCGAGGAGGGAGGGACTGGTGCCTGGTGGGGCGCGGGGAGCGAGGAGCGAGGAGCGACGAGGAGGGGCGAGGAGGGGGCAGGGACGAGGAGGGAGGGGACGAGGAGCGAGGCACGACGAAGAAGGCACGAGGGGGGAGGGACGAGGGGGGGACGAGGAGGCAAGAGTAGGGACGACGAGGAGGGAGAACCGATCGCCACCGGGATAGGGTGCCGTGGGACGGGCTCACCGGCGTGCGCTGGCGGGCGCCAGTGCTACAGGAGGAGTGGGCAGCAGCAGGGGCACATGGGCTGTTGATCACCCAACCAGCACGAGGAGCACAGCTGTCAGGATCTCCATTTGCTCCGTCTCTCTCGCTCTCTCTCTTTCTCTCTTTCTCTCGTTCGTGGGTTTATGATGTCACTCCCTCTCTCGTTTCCAACATGCACCTTTTATGTGTATTTTGTTGTGCTAACTCTACATGCATATTTCTCTCTATCTCTGCTCGTTCATGCTGTCTCGCTCGCCCTTTCTATGTCTATCCTGATATATATATATATATATTGTTGCTTATCTCCCTCTCTTTCCTTGTTGTTTTCTCTCTCTCTCTCTCTCTTTCTCTCTCTCTCTCTCTCTCCCCTCTCTGTATCCCTGCTATCATTCGAACTCTCTCGTTCTCTCGCTTTCTCTCTCTATCTTAGATGTGTGTCTCCCTCTCTATACACATAGATGTACCGGCTTCTGTCTCTACACAAGCACATCGGTAGCACACACACATGCGTAAACGTAATACTAGACTTCGGTCGCCGTCTCCCTCTCTCTCTCTCTCGTTGTAGGCTTCTCTCTCTCTCTCTGTAGTTGCTTCTATCTCTCTCCCTCCCTCCCTCCCTCCCTCCCTCCCTCCCTCCTTTCTTTATACTTATACTCATACACCAACTCCTATCAGTATATGCCTCTCCCTCTTTTCCTGTCTCTCCGCCGCTCTCTCCTTCTCTCTCTCTCTCTCTTTCTCTCTCTCTCTCTCTCTCTCCCTCCAATGAGAATGCATGCACGGCTCTGGACCTGTCCTTGCCCCCCCCGAGCCCACTACAACGCTCCGAGAATCCGAGGCCGCCCGGCGAGCAGGGCGAGAGGCAACCCGCGCCTCCCTCCCGTCGCCGCCCTCGGCGGCCGCGGCGGTGCCGTCCGCCGTCGGCCCACCCTCTGGCGGCTTCGCCTCCGGCTCCGCGGCCCCCTGGCGTCGGAGGCCCCGCGGGGAGGGAGGCGGGAGGGCGGCAGGAGGACACGGACACGGGGCCGTCGGCGAGGCAAACGACACGCTCGCAACGCCAGCGAGCAAATCTTTCGTCGGGCTTGGGGAGGGAGAGGGCGGGTGAGCCGATCCTCCGCGATCCAGAAGGGCGTGGCGTTCAAACCTTTTGGCAGGGGGGCACAGGGAGGAAGACGCCACGCCAACAACGGATGGCCTCGCGGCGCGTGGCCGCAGCCGCTTCTTGGGGGCGGAGAGCGCCATCGTGGAACAAGCCCCGAAGCTCTGAACGCGTGGATCCCCACGAGAAGCCACGCGTCGGGTGCCTGCCAGCTAAATGACCGTCCCTTTCCCCGCACTGCCTGCAGAAGGCCGCCTCTCCCCCCCCTCCCCGCTGCCCGGGGCCGCGGGGGGACCAATACACGAGCGCGCAGGACGCTACCATGGCATCGCGCTCGGCGATCGGGGGACCCCAATTGGCCCGCACCAAAGATCACTCTGCCCGCAGCAGGCCGTGCCCCCGCTGGCAGGCCCTCTCCGCCGCCCCCCCCCGCCCCAGAGGGCGCCTCCCGGCTCTCTGCGCGCTCGTCCGCGGCGCCGTCCTGGGGCGGACGCTCCCGCGGCCCCTCCCTGATGGGCCAAACTTCCACCACCACTATCATAGGTAGGACGGCGGCGAAGGGAGGACGGAGAGGTCCTCCTCTTCCTCCTCCTCCTCCTCCTCCTCCTCCTCCTGCTCCTCCTGCTCCTCCTGCTCCTGCTCCTGTTCCTGCTCCTGCTCCTGCTGCTGCTGCTGCTGCTGCTGCTGCTGCTGCTGCTCCTCCTCCTCCTCCTCCTCCTCCTCCTCCTCCTCCTCCTCCTCCTCCTCCTCCTCTCAAGTAACATCTGGGCTCAGACCATTTTGGCAGAGAGCTCAGGTGCCTCTGTGCCTTCACGCGGCACTTGGGGGACAGCGCACGAACGCCCAGCAGGATTGTTCGAGTGCTGACAAAAACAGAGGATTTCAGCAATGGCGACGGCCAGGACCTGGTCGCGGTGTGCAGGGTGCCAGCGTTGCGAGTACAATGATGTGCTGCGGCGGAATGACAACAAGTGTACGCACTGCGGTGAGAAGGTGGTTCCATTTCTGCCGAAGAGGAGTACTTCGCGCGACAAGGGTAAGAGGAAAGTGTGTTTCATGAATGATGACTCGGGCAGTCCGCTGCAGCCCAAGGGTATTCTTCGTTCAACCTCTTCTTCCCCTCCTTCGGCAAGTAGCAAGGGCAGCACGCGTGGCAAGGCAGCAGTGACCGAGCACCTCCAGCTCGCGTTGCAAGCCAGCGATGATGCCCAACTGAAGGACAGCCTTCAGAAACAGATTCAACAGTTGGAGAAGGATGCTGCAGGAGACGAGGGTGCAGTCACCCCCGTGGAGGCCCTGCGGCGTGCCGACAGTGCTTTCCGCGATGCCGACCACCGCCATGGGCAGCTGGCGGCGAACGCGGTCAGGTTGCGGACACAGTTGGCGCTGGCAGAGAAGAAGGAAGGTATGGCAGCCCAGGAGGTGGCGCGCGCGCAGGCTGCGCGGCGCGCCGCCACCCAGGCCTTAGCCTACGCCGAGGGCGTGAAGGGCCAGGGTGAGACCTCCGAAGGGACCCAGGACAGCACGGCCCCGAAGCCGATATTTCAGTGCACCTGGGACAAGGAGTTCTTCGCGAACATCGAGTCCCTCGATTGCGAGCCTGCTGAGAAGGAAGTTCTTCGTACGATCAAGACCGATCTCGAGCAGGCCGCAGGAGCCATGGAGACAAAGGAAGCGGAGGTACGCAAGTGGTTAGACCAGTTGCAGCAGCTTCGCAGTGACGTGGAGAAGCGCACGGCCAAGAAGCGACGAGGAGCCGACGGCACAGCAGCCGAAGGCGGCAGTGGCGGTGAGGCCAAACCTCCGACGGCAGCCGCAGGTACCGAGGGCGACAACCCTACGGCGACCCAGGCAGCCAAGGCGGCGCAGGATGCTGCGAACGCAGAGGAGGAGGCCAAGATCGTGGCCGAGGCGCAGCGACTGTCAGCGGCGAAGCTGGAGGCGGCGGCGCAGGCAGCAGTCGCCAAGGGCAAGGGCAAGGACCCTGTCGCCACGGCTTGACTAGCTACGGCAGCGCAGGTGGATACGCAAGGGGCGGATCCCACCTGTGTTGCCTCGTCGAGTACAGCTGCGGCGGTACCTACAGGGGAGAGTGCTACGACGCGACTCTCTTATTCCGATATCACTTGCATTGGGGAGGAGCCTTGGGCGTGGATCATATCCCAGACCAAGACCTACGACTTTTTCGCGACCGCCGAGACTCGCGTCCATTCCGAGTCAGTGCAGCGGTCCTACGACAGTAAAGCTAGAGGTGCAGGGCATCGGCTTCTCGCCAACGCTGCTCGTCCCACCTCGCGGCGAGTGGCAGACCAGGAGGCTGAGCACGCCAAAGGGGAAGACGAGTGGCCCCTCTCACAAGGTCATTTGCAAACACACAGGCTCGGAGCATATCATGCAGCACGGGGGAAGCTGGCTGCTCCTGGTCACGGGAACTCTTACGACGACTCCATGGCGCAGGTAGTCCATTTCATCGACTTCTCGCTGCTGATAGTGGTCCTCTACGGGTACAGCAACATGGGGTTGCACGGCGCGAACTTCGGGAGGTTCAATCACCTGCTGGGGTTGATGGGGGCGCTGCAGGTGCCCTGGGAGGTCGTGGGCGACTTCAATCTGAGCCCAGCGGCCCTCTCGCGCTCAGGCATAGTTGAACGCTTGTCTGCAGAAATTATCTCGGCCGACATTGCAGCAACATGTAATCAGCCAGCCGTTGTCTCCCGAGCCGATAAATTCAATAGCCTGTTCAGTGATTGTTGTGAGCAATCTCAGTGTGCGATCCCCGCCGAGGATGAGGAAGGGGAATATGCCTCTCCGTCTGCGGGGGATAGGGTGCCTGGTACTGTTAGTTTAGAAATCGATTTTGATGTGTGGCCCGACGAGGAAGACCCCTGGGCTCAGGAGCTCAAATTTTGCTCGGATCTGTCGGTGTGCCAAGTTTTTTCGAATTCGTCGGTTTCTCCTGGGGATCTCACTATGGCTGAGGACGTAGGGCGCGGTGGTCCTTGTGTTGTGTCTGGACCTTCGGACTGGATTGGCCATCCCGCGTCTTCGTCTGAGCCGCCAGCCTTGGATTCCCAGGAAGCCTCTAGCCAGGATGTGTCACACGGTGGAGCCTCACCCACTAACCAGGAGTCATCATTTGCCATACCTCCTGAGTTGTGGGAAGAATGTCGAAGTGCTGTGGGTTTCACGCCTGGTGGTCTCTCGCTCGAGTTCCTTGCTCCTGCTTTCCATCAGTCCGTAGCCTTTCGGCTCAAGCCAGCTCACCTGGCAGTGATAGCAGGGTTATCTGCTTCATGGATATCGTCTGTTGAACGTTGTATTTCTGCTCGTCTCAATGTGCCAGTCCCACCAGGGCCAACTCGAGCCCAAGGGACCAGATCCACAGTGCAGACAGGCAAGATGCCAGGGAAAAGTAGGGCCACGCCGTTTCGCGATTGTATGAGCGCATGGTGGACCCAACTCCACACTCTCTTAAATGTCGTCGTTCTTTATCGCTCCAGAGGGAGTGGAGCCAAGCAGTTGGAACGCTACCTTCAAGCATGTCAACGGCATAGTGAGGACAGGCCAGAGGGGTTGACCAAGGCCCTGATCGCCGCCAAGGATCCGCCATGGGATGAGTGGATCGCGATCATCAGGACAGCTGGCACCTGCGTTCTTCCAGGCCTGCAGAGTCATGAGAGTATCTCACGTCGTATCATGAATCGTGCACTGAGAAGAGCAGTCAGCGGATCAATTGCGGAGTCCAAAGAATTCTTCATGCAGGCGGAGTCTCTAGGTACCCCGCACAAGTCTCTTCACGGGCAGGCGCTCCCAGGGTTGGACTGTGAACCGGGCGACCAAGTGCTATATCATCCCAGGGATACCATTAACGCGGAGTCGAAGCACTGGCACTCTCTTTGGTCGCCGTCGGTTCACCAAGTGGCGATGGAGGAGGATCTGCCCATGATCTCGGTCTCAGATGCCCGACGTGCGGTGCGACAGATGAAAGCCAAGGCAGGCATGGAAGTTGTTGTGATGTTCCCCACGGATTTCGAAAGATTACCTGGCTCGGTCTTGGCAACTCTTTTCGAAGCTTGGGAACATTACGGTTCTCGGCCAGGCCAGGTTTTACTTATCAGCGGTCGGGTGTTGTGGGGAAAAGTTTTGGGAGTTCGAATAATTGGATTAGTGGCAGTGCTGGGGCGAGTATGGAGCATGATACGAGAACATCTTGTACGCACATGGTCCACGTCCACCGAGCAGGAATGGGAGGCGGCCATACGTGGCAATGTCAGTTTGAGAGAAGCATTCACACGCGTAGTACAGGAGGAAGTATCGCATCAGTTGAAGGTACCTTGTGCAGATAGTTTGATGGGCATCCAGTTGTTTTACGGCCCTATCGAGTGGCCGTGTCGCGCGGGCTATAATTTCAATCTGCCCTTTTCCAGCTCGAGTGGTCACTCACCTGCTTGAAGGAGGATGGGGATTTCAGGAGGCAACGGGGTGGACCATCCCATCGCCTCACCCGCTCGAGGGCGACCAGTGGCGCTCCGATGACAGCACGTACAGCGGCATCGGTGCACTCGACAGGCACGACGGCTTTCTGGCAGATTTCGCTGATACGCTTCGCTTTCGCTTGGGGGTGGGAGCGAGTCGCCACTATGCTGGAGGAGGTTTGGAACGAGGAGCCGAGTTTTGTCCCTATCGCACCCTTTTGGACCGACTCTCGGTAGTCCCAGTGATTGGACATCGACTGGGGGAAGTTAAGGTTTCGTGTGCAGTTGGCGGCGTCTGGCCTAGAGCCAGGCGCAAAGCTGAGATGCCCAAGTATCGTGATTCCGAGTTGAGTGGACGTTTCGGCACGAAGGCCGAGTCGTTGAAGCACAGAATCTGGGAATGCGAATATAATACAGGCAGCTTTGCATACACCGAGCCTGATCGGTGGGTTTCACAGGCGCGGGTTCAATCTGACGCTGACGAGGCGCTCTGGTTGCGAAGTCTGATGCCTCAGCCTTGGTTGGTGGTACCACTGCCCTCATCAGAGGTATGCTGGACGGTGGCGAACAACGATGACGAGGCCGAGGTATTCCTGGGCGGTGGCACCATGGAGGAGCAGCTGCGGGTGTTCGGCGATGCCAGCGGTGGTGATGACACCAACAGCACGACCTTCCGCAGTGTGGGCCTGGGCATCGCGGTCTTCAACCAGCTGGAGCCGACGGTGGAGCTGCAGGCCTTGGTGAGGGGTCCCCTCGCTGGATCACGTCAGGGGGTCGCTCGGGGCGAACCCCGTGCTCTCCTCCTGGCCGTGTGGTGCACAGTCGTTGCGATCACCTACGTGTCAGACTACGAGTCGGTCGTGCAGGGTTGTTTCGAGCAAAAGTTTTTGGCCCCATCGAGGCCTGGCTGTGATCTGTGGGCCCGTCTTGGCCAGCTCCTGGCCGTAGCACCTGAGCGCCGCACCAGCATATTCTTTGTCAACTCCCGCCAGACGGGGAGCGTCGT